CCCTGCCTGGGTATGCCACCGCCCGCCCTGCACGACTGTTTGCGATTTCCTTACTCACCTATGGCGCAGAAACTACTTTCCACTCCACATTTCCTCAATCCTCTGACGGTTTAGAACAAAGACATCAAAAACAGAATGATCGGATGTAACAATGTTTAGTAGAGGTGTCAGCAGGCGTAAACTTATGACAAAGAGGAAGAGCGCTCTGTGCCGGCACAGTCCACTCGTCGTGCGCCTCAGCTCGAAAAAAATAAGACTTTGTTGCGGGGATCAACTTTGGTCGATAGGCGAAATTCGATAGCAGAAATCGAGAATCCGATGCCAACAGCCAGGAGCTGGTTGTCAAGGCCGGACACTTGTACGAATAGAACAAACTCCAGTTTAGTTGTTATCGTACAAGTGTCCGGTCCTGGCTGTGGGCATCGGATTCTCGATTTCTACTATCGAATTTTGCCTATCGACCAAAGTTGATCCGCACAACAAAGTCTTTTCTTTTCCGTGAGTGTCTGCGGTGCGACTGACCGTTTGCGACCCGTCTGTTTGCTTGCAGGAGACATCGAAGGATTAGGGAGCGATGACTCTTATTTTTTGCCACCGTCTGGATCTGCCGCGTCCACTTCAGGCGCGCGCGCGGTGGATCGGGTCGTCTGGACTCTCAGCTGTTCCTCCGGAGCGGTGTTCGAGTGGTGTCCGAGCGGTGTCCGAGCGGTGTCCGAGTGGTGCCCGAGCGGTGCCCGAGCGGTGCCGGAGTCTGGACTCAGCGACGCATAGACAGTGCCGCCGAAGTGCGATACAAAAGTGATAATACTGAGTGCCACTGCTCAAGGAGTGACGAGGCGGACTGTCGTCACGCCTTAGAAAGGACATAAATTATCGCGTCGCCGGAGTGATATGTGAGACGTGTAAACGGGAGATCTCGGCGAGGGACGCTGCCTAGCCGGCGCGAGCGTGCGCGGGATCGCCTCGACGGTTAACTGCGGTGAACTGCGTGAACTGGACGCTTTTCCCGACCCCTGTCGCGGCTCCCGCCCGCAGCTGTACAGGACGCCGCACAGACGCCGGCGACGTCACAATAAATGCGATACAGAGATTGTTGCATCTGTTTCCTTCCCGCTAGTACCCGACACGAGCAAGCCCCAGACAGAGCAAGCGCCAGAGCGAGCGCCAGCAACCCGACAGCTAGTCTGAGGGTGCGCCGGGACTCTGCAGAGGCGCTGGAGCTGGGGATGAAGATGGGACTGGGGCTGTAGCTGGATAGCTGGGCTGGGGTTTGGGGCTGGGGCTGGGGCTAGAGCTAGAGCTAGAGCCGGGCGCAGCAGCACCGGCGACCTACACCACCACCGCCTGCCCCCCCCCTAGAGGGAGACCCCTGACCTGGGCCGGGGTGACTCGCCCTGTAACGCCCTGCAGAGCCACGTGTGTGTATGTGTGTGTGCCTCTGTGTATGTGTGCAACTGTGTGCGTGGTAGGAGCGCGCGTTTCGACCACCAAAAAGTACATTAGTAGTAACAAAGAAACAATGTTCTCAAGACGACCACTACACGGGTTGTAGCACCGCATGTCATGCCGAAGAAGCCTGGCGTCGTAGAGGCCGCGGTGCCAGTGATGACGGACGACGGCGAGTGGGTTCTTCCTCGGCGGCGCCCGTCGCGCCCTTGTTTGTGACGGTCGTGGTCGTGGTGGTCCTGGTGGCCGCCGCCGCCTGTGCGACCGCGCGCCCGGCCCGCGCCGCCCAGGGCTTCCGCGGGGGGGGG